ATCTAACAAGATATTCTGCTGTGCAATTAACGCTTGAAAATTGATTGCCGAGAATAGTCGTAGCCAACATTTACCCTATTTTAAATTTTCACGATGAAACTGTTTTGTTATATTGAAGTATGTTGTTAAACAACATACTTAATTTAATTTTTTTATATAAAAAGCAAAACAACATGACGTATTAAGAATGTCTTGTGATGATGCTTATATGATCATTTATATTTATAACTGTTATTTGTGGGCTTTATTATATATCAAAGGTAGAATAAAGCATCTGCTACCCACAATTCCTACCTATCGTTCAAGACTTGTTGAATCTACCTATATTTCTCATTGCGATCAGAATCGTATATAAATTGTTATGGGCCGTTTCTAGTTTCATTGAAGACGGTTAAACACAAGTGTGAACAAGGATAATAAAACTATTATTTCACTTTTTGACGTAAAGCTAACGCATAGCGAAAACGTTCAAAATGCCTTCAATTATCACATCCACGTGGAAAAGCAAACACGACTACAGGATAAAATTTACAAACTTGTCAGTAAATACAAGGAGAAGTGGAGTCAATTTCAACGAAAAAAGAGAGATTTGATTCAGATCATCGGAGTTGGCTCGAATCTAGTTTTGCCATCAAGGAATTCATCGAAGAGGAGCAGAACGTTCCTTCAACATCAAAATGAGGGATACATTCAAAGCAGTTTGATGAGCTGAGTGAAAGAAGCAAGCGTCGTCTCGTCGACAACGAGGAAGTAAATCCAAAGGTGGACAGCATCGAGAAGGCCTTATTTATTGCGCGACGGACTGCCTATAATCGACAGGAGTTTAATTTGGTTAAGGTCATTGGACACCTTATTAAAAACCAAGAACATTATAGGAAAATATACGTGCTGTTAACAGATGAACGTGAAATGATGTCACCTGAAGAAGCATTTTGTATGTTCATTGAAGCTGGCTTAAGCAAAAGTCAATACGAAGTAATACATCGAGAGGCACCATCAAGATTTCCACCATACAACGTTATCGGGACATTTAAAAACGTATGTACCCCTCCAACTCAATCCATTGAGTAAACCGCGTCCAAAATAAAGGTGAAACTACAGGCTCTGTTGGAGCATACAGTCCAACGAATCATCAAAGTTATTGAGAGGAAACTCGACGAGTTTATGACATCAAATAACCTGGAATATGCTAAATTGATTCTATTGAGTAGTTGGGGCATGGATGGTTCAACCGATTATTCCTAGTATCATCAATCACTGCCAGACGAATGTCAAGATGATTCTGATGTATTCTCATCAACACTCTCTCCAATACGGTTATATGTGGCGAATAATCCGAACAAAATTATGTGGTTTAACCGCATGCCTCAAAGCATTCGGTTTTGTAGACCATTCATCCTGCAATTCGTGAAAGAGAGTAGAGTGATAATTCTTGCCACAAAACAAGACGTGGAGAAAGAAATGCAAGAACTAATCCCAGTGAAATTTGATCTATTAAACGGAAACACAATCTTATAGCGAATTCGTTTATTATTCAGTTCCAACCTGGATCGGGTATCAAGATTGGGTCTGCTTGTTTTCTGACAAACGTCAGTTTGCTCGTTTGTTTTTAAAACCTAGATCAGGTTGAGGTTCGCACTGACAAAAAGTTCGGTTTCGCACTGGGTTGGAACTGGTTCCAACCCCAATAATAAACGAATTCGCTATTAGTTGATTTTGAATTTGCACTAAGTATGATTGACGGTAAGGTGTTAACATATATTTGTGGTAGTTCATCAATGCAGAACTGTTCAATTTGTGGGGCAACTCCAAACGTAATGAACAACAAAGAGAAATTAGAAGAAGGATTTCTATCCAACGTAGATACCCTAGTTTATGGTATGGCATGGATTCGCTTCTTTGAATGTCTGCTGCATATTTCGTATCGTATGGATATAAAGCAATGAAAAGTTTTACAGCCATGTAAAGAACAGTATCTGCAAAGAAAAAAAAACAAGTAACGGCACAGCTTTATGAAAAATTTGGAGTTAGAGTTGATCAACCAAGATCGGGAGGAGCAGGTACGAGCACTACAGGTAACGTTTGTCGACGAGGATTCGCAAATCCTCATCTTTTAAGCAGCGTTTTAAATATCGACGAAGAATTAATTGTGAGGTTTCGAAACATTTTGATTACTATCAACAGTCAGGAGCCAATTAATCCAGAAAAAAATGATGCCTATTGCAAAGACACATACCGACTTTTTCTTTCTTTATATGATTGGTATAAAATTCCTGCAACCGTAGGGTTTTTGATCTTATTTCCGTCCTACTAAGGACATCCCGCACTTTACCACGCTTTTTGGAAAGGGTTTGAACAAAACATGGAATGTTTTCATCAAAGATAACTTCTAAATTTATCCACCTTTCCATACGTACCGTTGGATTTGATTTTATTAAAAATCTAACACTGCTTCTTGCTTCTAAATTCGTCCTACGCGTTTCAATTCCGTCCAAACGCATTGAAACGTCATTAGATTTTCTTAAACGGAGAAAAAGGAGATGCGCTAGGAGCGCTTCTTTTGTTTTGAGAACAATGAGCGTAAATATGCATACAATGCACTCTAATAGGATTTATGTTGTGGCTAATGAACTAACGCATCGGAACAAACGTATTATTGTTTTGTGCATTGTGAAATCATTGATATTATTGATGATTTCTGCTCGATAGAACGGAAATGGGCGATTACGACGAAGTAGCGCTCTTCCCTACATAAAGTACTTGCTTGTGCTAGAGAAATAACAATTCATTCGCCAGCTCCTCTTGGAATATTAGCAGAAAAAGCAGCAGAAAGTCAGCATAAACAGCTGAAAAATATCGAATTCACCATGCTAGAAAACGATCCAGAGTCGAAAATTTACAAGATGTCTTCATTCGGGCAATGAATGAATCAGATCCATTCATTAGTACCATTTGGATGGAGAAAACAAGACAATCAAAAAAAGCGTTGAGCTATCCCGATATTGTCAAAAGTTTTATGATATTCGAAGATTTTGAAAACTGCTCAACAGTCAGTGATAATATCTGCAATGCATTGGAAGAACTTATGGAAGCTGTCGACGAAGTTGAAGAAGATTTTGCTAGGGATGATAGCAGTGCCGAATAATAAAAATGTGCAATATCGAGAAAACAATAAAAAAAAGATTGAAATAAAATTTATGCCGTTTCTTCCAGTTATTTTTTATTATAGTCACTTAAACACTCTTGGGTCATTCGTGACTTGTCCGGAGTAAGATTTGAACTCGTAACTTTGGCGTGAGAGGTACGGATGTTAACCACTACGCCGGAGTCGTACCCGTAAAAGTAAATTTTAATCCCTCCAGTTTTCGCTCATTCTGTTACCTATCTTATAACTGAAATAAACTAAGAAGAACGAATATAACCATTCTTTGAAATGGAAGCTATGTTGTAAAATTCACAATATGTTGTCCGTAAGTAAATGTTGCAGAAAAAGACTTGAAAATATGATCAATAAAGATCAATTAAAAACTAAGCCCTTTTCAAAACTTGTTTGTGAATCATCAAAATGTGCTCGTCCCTTAGTTAAAAATTACAACCATTCAACATCTTACATTGAAGCAAAAATGAAGAAAATATTTTTGTCCGCTTGCTTGTATGGAAATTTCCCATAGTGGCATCACCCGTAACGGTTCCCACTTCGTTGTTGAGGGAGACCTTAATGATAGCCATGAGGCCTGGCGGAACTACCAGCAGAACCAGAACGGTCGACTGCTGTTCGACCATTCGCATCATAGGCTGTACTCCGTTTGGTTCTCGGACGAGCCAACATTCATCTCACCGGCGGGCAACCCATCGATGCTAGACCTGTTACTGACAAATACCGGTAGCCTTGAACAAACTCAGCTCCGATCACCAACCGGTGGTGGCTGAACTGGGCTGCAACGTGGCTCCTGCTTCAAGCCTGCGCAAGGACTACCATCGCGTAAACTGGGTTCAGTTTGGACGCGTGGTAGACAGGCACATCATCTTCGACGACATCATCTGTAAGCGTACCCCATTCTAGTTGACTTTCTAGTACTACACTATGTTTGTTTTGATTCGCTATGAACGTTTGACAGATAAAATGAGGGGTTCGTGGATTTTTCCATGTTTCGAGGGGTGCATCGATTAGCTTGGGTCCATAGAGAGTACCAAAGCTGAGCGAACAAGTTAAGCACGTTTCTTCGGGAGCTTCTGGCCTTAGAGTTACCTCTATGATATTACATTCCCTGGTAATTTCATGACAATCGGTTGAGAGGCTTATTTTTGGCGAGTACTTCCAAGCCATGCAATTTAACGTACTGACTACAGCCTTTCATAGCCATTAAAGATATAGGATATGTTACAGAATGGAAATTTTAAGCCTTTGAAAAATGTTTGTGCTCAATGTTTCAGAATGTAATTTTGCACAAGATGTGACTCATTTCACTTACTTTGTCACAACAAATGACCAATTGAAAAAGTTGTCCCACTTATCCATAACAAGCAATCAATCCTCAATCAAACATTTCCTCGATATAAAGCTACTAGGTACTTACTACCAAAGCTACCATAACCTGCAACTGTATTCCACCTGCGCAGGGAGTAAATTATTTTCTGTGACAATTTACAACATCCTCGCAGCTACTAAATTTAACGACCGCAAACTAATGCAATCAGGGGGCCCATTCAATCCACACAGATCCGAGCCACGCTGCTGCCCGCCATCCGTACCGGTCCCGGTGTCGGTGCTGTTGTTGATGTTTTGTTGTTATGCTAATGATGTCCATTGAAACCAGTGTTTACGATAAAATATAGCAACACTTTGCAACAGTCCGACCGACCCGCCGAACAGTAGCTGATTTCGATGTCATACCGAACGACGAGAACAACGCCGACACGCCGGTCGGTAATAAAGCCAATTCATTGCCGGCCAGTTTCCAACTCCGATGACGGTTTGTGATAGATTGATACGACGCATATTTTACAATTAACTTTGTCGTTTTTATTATTTTTATGGATTTTTCGTCATTTTTGTATCAACAATAAAAATTCACTGCCTATGTCTGTAGGATTTACGCGCTTTGATTTTCAAGTCAGAAAATAAATAATACTTTACAAAAATATTACTTACACATTGAGACGCAGGAAAACATTCGATTTGAGCTTATCAAAAAAAAGTAAAAAAAAAATAAGTAAAAAATAATACCAAAAAAATTCAAGTACAAAAATCCTAACCCAGATGCAACAAAAAATTGATTGTTCGATTGCTTCTATCTAACTAACATCCTAGGGCCTTAAGAGCTAGAGTGTGAGAGAGAGAGAATTTTGGGTTCCCTCTACGCACTAACGTTGACCGAGAAGGAAGCCAGTGCGTCACCTTTGCGTGTCACCGCCCGCACCTGGTACTGGCCAATGTCCTCGAACGAGCACTTGGCAACGGTGAAGGTGTACTTGTTGTCCTTCTTGACGAATCGGTATCGGTTCGATGATTCGTTGATGGGTTCACCGTCCTTGTACCATTCGAGCTTGGTCGGGGCATCGTAGGTTTCGCAGCTGAACACGGCCTTTGCTCCGTCCAACACACTCAACGAGGCGGGGAACTTGGCAAAGGTCGGCGCATCCTTCTGCTCGCCCTGGGCCAGCACCGTTATGGTACAGGAACTGAAGCTTTCGCCACCCTTGTTGAACGCCTCGCACGTGTAGGTGCCGGCGTCCTCGGGGAAGATCTCCGGGATGTGCAGCGAGTACACGTCTCCGTCGTTCAGATATTCGAAGTCTGGGGTATTCTTGATTTCCCGGTTGTCGTGCAGCCAGATCACGTTGAACGGATCGGGGCAGGTAATGTTACTCTTGATGATCACCTCCGCACCGTCCTTGTAGTAGCCGGATTCGGTGTGCTTGTTGATGAGTGGGGCTTTCACCATCGAGCTCTTCTTGTCGCTGGATCGAGTGGTCGAGCCGGATACCTCTGCAGGAAGAACAAACAAATCAAATTTTAAATAACCAACTAACAGATTCCGGTAAGCCTTAGAGGACTTACTCTTCACATCCAGCTTGCACTGCGTCGCCGTTTCTCCCATGGAGTTCTTGGCCGTGCACACGTAGGTGCCGGAGTCCTCCGGGAACAGTTCGTTGATTCGTAGGCTGGCAATGCCCGATTTGTACTTGATGTCGATAACGTCCGACGAGGTCAGCTTCTTGCCGTTCTTGGTCCACACGATCTGTGGCAGCGGGTCTCCACTGACGTGGCAATTCAGCTGCAGTGGTTCACCGTCCGAAGCGACGACGTCCTTCAGCTCCCTGGTGAACTTGGGTGAGTGCATTAGGGCGTCCGATTGGAGAGCTGTTGTAAATCAAAAGAACAATTTTAATTAATGAAAAACCCGGTTAAGCTCAAATACTCACGCATCAGTTCGCGGGTAGACTGGCGGGATCGTGCATCCGGTGGTCCGAGTTGTTTCGATGACACAGGTTTGCTTTCCGGTTTCTTAACCGATAGCCGTTTGCCTTCGGCCTTTGGCTGTGGCAGCTCCAACTTGTTGCGACGGTCTTCAACGATCACGACACTGCTGGTTTCGGCCTTGCCCAGTGGATTGATGGCAACGCACTTGTACTCGCCGGAATCGTCAACCTTGGTGTCGATGATCTCCATGGTCACCACGCCGTCCGTATGGGTCATAGAGTACTCGTATCGGCTAAGCTCGCGCCCGTTCTTGAACCACTTGACGGTCGGCACAGGCTTTCCACTGAGACAGCACAGCAATTTGCAGGTATCTCTCATCTGCATAACACGAGGACGCAGAGCAAAGGTGAACACTGGAGCAGTGTCCGATTCCTCTTGCCATAGTGGCCGTGGGCTTGGTTCGCGCTTACGAACGGTAAGGGTTTCCGGTTTGTAGACTGGCACCTGTTTCGACATCGGGTGAACGTTCAGGAAGATGACTTCCTCGCGAGCTCCGTAATGGTTCTCCGCACGGATGATGTACTCGCCGCGATCGTCCAGCTTCACACGGTTGATGATGAAGTAGTAGTCATCACCGGCGTAGCGCTTCATGAATTTGACGGACTGCTTCAGTTCCTGGTTGTTGTGGTACCAGGTCACAACTGGAGTAGCCACACCAATTACACGGCAATAGAACTTGCAGCTCTGGCCTTCGTAGCAGAAGGCCGACTGCGGACGGATGACGAATCGTGGAGCGGCCTGTCGGCGATCGAACGAAGTCTCATGGATCTTGTACTTGGTAACCAGAAGCTTACGCAGGGCAGAGTACTCCGACAGTCTACCCAGCGGCAGGACAAACGAGGCCCAGTCGTCATACTTTCTGCGGATGTGATCGCGGATGGTCTTGTAGCGTTCGATCGAGATCAACGAAGTCGAGCAGTTGTAGCTGTCGCTCAACCACGAATGCATCAAACACTCGTGAGCAGTCATACGTTTCTCAGTATTCTTGATCAGCAGACGACGGATGAAGTCCTTGCATTCTTCCGAAACTTCCTTGAATGCCACTTCGTCGAATTCCCAAGTTCCCTGCTTGATGTTCCGCAGGGTATCAATGTCAGTCTCACCGGCAAATGGCGAAAGTCCACTAATCAACACATAAGCCAACACACCGACGGCCCACATATCCGTGTAGAAACCAACCGGCTCCCGTTCGACAATCTCCGGAGCGGCAAACTCAGCCGTTCCCGTCGAAATCTTGACCATCTCATTCGGATTCAATCGCGTGGCCAAACCGAAATCGATCAGTTTCACCTGGTTGCTGTTCCTGGTCTGACACATCACATTCTCCGGCTTGATGTCCAGATGGATGATGTTCTTCTCGTGCATGTACTTGACGGCTTCGCAGATCTGTTTCATGTACTCGATGATCTCCTGTTCGCACATACGGTAGCCTTCGGTGGTGATCCGCTCGAACAGTTCACCTCCCGACAAGAACTCGTAGATCAGAACAAACTCATCGTCATCCTCGAAGGCATCGTGCAGGTGGATCAGCTTGCGATGGTGCAACTGGTTCATGATATCGATTTCCTTGCGGATCAACGCCCGCTCCGAATTTTGCGACACCGGAATGAACTTGGCGGCAAATACATTTCCGGTCTTACGCTCACGGCAACGGTGCACCACTCCGAACGCACCCGTGCCAATCTCCTCCAAAATTTCATACAGATCGTACACGCTCTTGTTCGAGATCTCCACCGGTTTCGGGTGATACTTGGAGTAGATGTCGAACACGTACGTATCGTAGTCCGAGATCGGTTCGCGCTTGCCTTGACGCTTGGGCTTGCCGTTCTCATCAAGCTCGTACTTGACGCGCTTGGTCGGCTTAATGCCCAAGTCCTTCAAGCTAACCAGCTCAGTCTGATCGGATGGATCCGAACGGCCGTACACGTTCTCGGCGAACACACGGAACTCGTACTGATGTCCCGGCGACAGATGTGGAATGATGAGCTGGTTGAAGCGGGTGGTTCCGGCACGAATCCAAGTAGATAGTGGCACTTCACGCTTCTCGACAATGTAGTTGGTAATACTCGCGCCTCCGTCCCAGGATGGTGGCAGCCAGCTGAGTGTGACATGGTCCAATCCGACTTGATCGACAGTGAGGTTCCTTGGCTTGTCCGGACGATCGCTGATCTGAATACTGATGTCGGCCGTATCCTGACCAAGCTCGTTCTCGATTGTGATCGTGTAGGTGCCGGAATCCATCTGCGAACCGTCACGGATTGTCAGTACAGTATGGCGTTCACGAGTCTCAATGTGATAGTGAATACCGGACTCGATCTGTTCGCCCTTGAGGGTCCAGTGGCAACGTGGTTTCGGGAATCCGGTGAACGGAATCTTGATCTCGATGTTTTCACCATTGTCGAAGAACGCCGTATCACGGAAACGTGGTGGAACGTTAAGCTTCGGTGGCGACTTGATGATGAGTGAGGCCTTGGTAGACTTGACGCCTCCCTTGTTGACGGCACGGCATGTGTACTCGTCAGCATCCTCGCCAAACACATCGTTGATGGCCAGGTGGTGCATGTCTCCGTCGCTGTACATGTAGTAGCGCGATCCGGAGCAGATTTCGCGAGCTCCTTTGTGCCAGGTGATCTTCGGACGAGGAACACCGGTAATCTTGCACACAAATTCGACGTTCCTGTTCTGGACGCAGGTCAGCGTGTTCAGTGGTTTGACAACCTCCGGTGGCTTGCAAATGTCTGGATCCTCGGCCTTCACCAGCTGCGAAGCCTTGGAGAATTCCGAGCAACCGACTTCGTTCTGGGCAGCAACACGGAACTCGTAGAAACGACCCTCCACCAGATTCGGGCAGTTGATCGTGCAGATGGAGCAGGATGCAGTGTTGACACGCTGCCAGGTTTCTGTTCCTTGTTCGCGCTTCTCGATCCAGTAGCCCAGGATACGAGTGCCGCCATCCGAAACAGGTTTCTCCCATTCCAAGTTGGCGAAATCGCCTCCCAGTTCGTGGATAATTGGAATTCCAGGTGGCGATGGCAGATCGTACGGTCCACGAGCCTTGATCGGATCGGCACCTTCCAGTGGTGAACCGATTCCGTTCTCGTTGACAGCCGACACACGGAAGAGATATTCCGAGAACTCGATCAATCCCTTGATGATCAGCTGCGTTTCCTTGATGTAGTTGGACACGATTAGCCAGTGCTGCGATTTGATATCACGACGCTCAACGACGTAGTGCGTGATCTTGCGACCTCCATCGGACTTCGGTGGCTTCCAAGAGACGGTGCACATGTTCTTGGTGACGTGGCTGATCAGCAGTGGTCCCGTTGGTGGTCCAGGCAATCCAGTCACATGGACATTGACATTGCACGACACACTTCCGCTGTCGTTCTTGAAGTTGACCAAGTACACTCCCTTATCGGTGTCTTCCACCTCGCGAATGTAGATGACAGCGTAGTCATCGAACACCGTGTATTTGATGTGATCCGTCTCCACCAACTTCTCGCGATCCTTGGAAATGTTAACTTCCATTGGATGATCGCCGTTGAAACCGAGCTTGATCTTGGCGTTCTCTCCCTTGACCAGGTACACATCCGATGGAATGTTGACCAGTTTTGGTGGTACACCGATCTTCACCGCAGCCGTAGTGTGCACTGCACCGACGAAGTTATGCGCCTCGCAAGTGTAGTCACCCTCGTCACGGTACGTAACATTCGAGATGTGCAGCGAGAATACACCATTCTTGCTTTCCAGCGCAAACTGACCACCGTGGGTGATCTCCTTTCCGTTGCGCAACCATCTGCAGGTCGGTTCCGGTTTGCCATGAGCCTCGCAAGACAGCTGTACCGATTTTCCAAGTGGCACCAAGCTGAACTTCAGTCTCTTGACCCATTCCGGCTTCTCAGTATTCAACTGTTCACCAATACGCACCGAGCGAGTTTCAGGTGATGGAGGCGAGACTCCATAGCTATTGACAGCATAAACTCGGAACTCGTACACACCACCCTCAATGAGATTCGTGATGGTAAGTTCGGTAACAGGAATATTCGATTCATTGCATTTGACCCATCGTGCTCCTCCGATATCGCGACGTTCGACGTAGTATCCAGTGATTCTGGAACCACCATCGCTTGCCGGTGCAGTCCAGCTGAGATCAACGAAGCTCTTTCCAACCTTAACGATGGCCGGCGCTCCTGGTGCAAATGGTGGCGTGATCTTTCCATGGATCTTGAATCTCTTCGACGAAGCCGATGGTTTGCTTACACCAGCAGCATTCTGTGCCTTGACGCGGAATTCGTACTCATGACCAGGCATCAGATTGTACACCTGATAGCTGTTATCCTTGATGAGGAAATTGCACACAATCCAGGTGCTGTCCGTAACGTCGCGGTACTCGAAGCGATAGCCCTGAATACGAGATCCACCATCCATGAGTGGACGTTCCCAGGTGACGGTGACGTAGTTGGTGTCCCAGTCGGAGACACGTGGTGGGTTCGGTGGATCCGGAACAGTGAATGGATACCGAGCGATGATCGGTTCTTCCAAGATCAACGGGTCACTGATGCCGTACTGATTCTCGGCACGCACTCGGAAGCTGTATTGCTTGTTATTTTCCATACCCATATTGTCGTAGTGGGTGTTTCGTACAAAGCTACTTGCCTTGGTCCAATAGCCCAGTGGTTCATAGCGTTCGACAATGTAGTTCGTAATCGGACTGCCACCATCGTCCAGTGGAACCTTCCAGGACAGAGTACACGACTCGGGGGTGATTTCCGTAACTTCCAGCGGTCCAATCGGAGGGGTTGGCTTGTCAACCACCAACACACGGCAAGAAGCAGTATCCTTGCCAACGCAGTTGACCAAGTGAATGGTATAGCTTCCGCTGTCCATGCGCTTGGCGTTGTCGTTCTTGAAGATGGCTTCCGTATCGGTGATGGGCAGCTCAATTCTATCGTTTCTGGATACTTCGTTTCCGTTGACCAACCAGAAGGCATCCGGTCGGGGAGCGGACGAGTACGGAACGATAATCTTGAAGGAATCACGAGCAATGACAAGGATATCGCGCATTCCAATGTCCGAAGTGATCTTGGGAGCCGAGAAGGCAGCCGTAACCATGATCGGGTCCGATGCGGCACTGAACGGACTCTGGCCGGCAGCATTGACTGCAGCCACTCGGAAGATATACTCGCGGTTCTCGGATAGTCCGGATACCTTGCACACCATGTCCTTGAGGGTGCCCTGTTGGACCTTGGTCCAGGTACCTTCGGTAGCCGGACGCTTCTCGACGATGTAGTGCGTGATCGGTGAGCCACCGTTGCTGGCCGGTTTTGTCCAGGTGATGGTGATAGAATCTTCGCTGGTCTCCACACGTGTTGGAGTTCCAGGTTGAGTCGGAATATCGAATGGATGTTTGGCGATGATCGTATTGGACTGGCCTGGTTCAGACATACCGTACTTGTTTTCGGCGTAAACACGGAAGTCGTACTGCTGGTTGACACGCAGGTTGCGAATCTTGAGGAATGTTGCCGTGCAGTAGCTGCTGACCTTCGTCCAGTTCGACGAGTTCTTCTCCTTCTTCTCAACGACGTAGTTGGTGACTGGTGAACCACCATCATCCAGTGGAGTGTTCCAGCACAGAATCAGATGCTCACCACCGTACGTTTCCACGTCGACGTTCTCCGGCTTAGCTGGTCTATCCAGGACCTTCACGTTGCAAGAAGCAATGTCATAGCCAGACGGGTTCTTGAGCATAAGACGATACTGCTTGGAGTCCGTACGCTTGCTATTGGTGACGACCATGATGGAAGCTTCATCGGTAAGCGTTTGGTGAATACGAGAGTCAGTTTCATCCAGTTGCTCGTCGTTGGAGAACCAGGTGGCAACCGGTTTCGGGAAGGCTGTGTACGGGATATGGATGTTGAAGTCCTCTCCCGCACGAACGATAATGTCCCGAACGTTGCGCAGATCCATCATCGGTTTGTTGGCTTGCTCTTGAAGAGTAACCGAAATGCTTGGACGAGATGGATCCGATGAACCGATATCATTGACGGCGATCAAACGGAACTGGTATTCCTTGTTCTCTTCCAAGTGCTCAACGCGATACGATTGATCACTACAAAGATCAGCCACATTGTTGGAATCCACCCAACTTTCTTCATCCTTGACGCGGTACTGAATGAGGTAGCCCTTGATCTTTTCCTTGACATCTTTACGGATCGTGCGCCACGAGATGACTACGCTGTTGCGCGAAATCTTGTCAATCGATGGCGGATCCGGTTGAGTTGGCCGTCTACGTTGCTGTTGGGCCGTAATTGGATCGGTTGGTTCACTTGGTTTGCTGCAGCCAACGTCGTTGACAGTCTTGATGCGGAATTCATAGCGGAAGCCTTCCATCAGATCAGGAATAGTGTACGTAGTGTTGACAGTAGGATAATTATTGACCTGCACCCACTCGCCGGTACCACGCTCACGCTTCTCGACGATATAGCCGGTGACCGGGCGAGTTTGGATGCGTGGTGGCTTCCACGAGATGGTACACGAACTTGGAGTGAAATCCTCGACGTTCGGTTTGTCGACTGATTGCGGTGGATCCGGGCTCTTTGGCGAGATGGTTTTGCTCTCGGTTGGCTCCGATGCACCGTAGATGTTTTCGGCACGGACACGGAAGATATACTCGTGGTTCTCGGTCAGATGCTTGATAGTATGCGCACAGCGAGGAACAGTACCGTAGACCATCTTCCAGTTGTCCGATGGGAATTCCTTGTACTCGATACTGTATCCGGTGATTTCCGAGCCGCCGTCGTCCTTTGGTGGGTCCCAGTTAAGGGTAACGGTGTCTTGGGTTGTTTCCAAGGCGAACACATTTCTTGGTGGATGTGGACGATCGACGACGATGACTTCGAACTCTCTCGTGTCTTCGCCATACTGGTTCGATGCCTTGATTTTGTAGTCGTCCGAATCCTTACGTTCGCTACGCTCAACGCGGAATACCGTATGTTCACTGTTGGTATCGACCGAGGTGCGAGAAGTCTCCGGAACCTTAACTCCACTGCGGTACCATTCGACAGTCGGAATTGGAGCTCCAACCAGTGGAATGGTGATAATGATCGGTTCACCAGCACGGACCTTGATTGTTCTCTTGCCGAAGCTGTCAAGATTGAGCTTAGGTGCCTGCTGCATTGGTCTAGCCCAGCATTTGCCTGATGGATCGCTAGGTTGACCCTGGCCAGCTGCATTGACAGCCGATACACGGTAGTCGTACTGATGTCCCTTAATGACTCCCGTATCGGTGAATTCGATGTTTGGAACTGGATACTTGTTGGCCTGAATCCAGCGTCCGGTAGCAGTGTCCCGACGTTCAATGTTGTATCCAGAGATTCTGGATCCACCATCGCTGATTGGAGGCTTCCAGCTGAGCGTGACCATATCATAGTCGCTATCAATAATGTCCGGTTTGGTTGGTGGTCCTGGTGCAACAAACTGATCCTTGGCCACAACCGGGTGCTTGCTAGGCAAACCCTCCGAGCGACCCTGAAGATTCTCAGCCATTACACGGAATTCGTACTTGTTGCCCTTGTTCAAACGAGGAACCACAGTATGGGTGTACTTCGGACTGACATAGGCCACAGCTGGCACCCAACCTCCACCGTGGGTAAGATCCTTCTTCTCCACGACATATCCGGTAATCTCTGAACCACCATTGTCCTTCGGTGGTTTCCACGAGATCGTTACGCTCTTCTCCGTGATTTCTTCGTAGTTCATCGGGCCCTCCGGTGGATCCGGACGATCCAGCACGGTCAAGCGGAAGCTACCCTGGTCGGTTCCACTCGAGTTGCTAATGACCAGCTTGTATTCGCCCGAATCACCACGATTACAGTTGACAGTGTGCACAATGGTGTGGTGTCCAACAGCGGTCATGGTCGTACGTTTGTCGCTTTCCACAGGCTTACCGTTCAACGTCCAAACGGCTTCCGGTGTCGGTTCTCCTGTGAAGTTCACATCAACGTGGTAGATTAGTCCAGCCTTGACGACCATATCACGCAGTGGAGTAACGATCTTGGGAGCGATGAATCGCGAACGAGTCAGCACAGCATCCGAGGCATCGGATGGTTCCGACTCTCCAGCAGCGTTAACAGCAATGACACGGAACTCCCACTCGGTTTCGGTAGCCAAATCTGGAACCTTGAGGTTGCGCTGAATTCCAGGCACACGACCAGCAGTACTCCAGTACGGACTGTCCTTCTCCTTCTTCTGCACGATGTACTCGGTAATTGGAGCTCCACCATCGGACTTAGGAGCACTCCATTCCAAGCTGACCGAGTTGGCGTCCCAATCGACAACTTGTGGCTTCGGTGGCTGGGATGGTTCTTCGAAGTCGTTCTTCGCCACAATCGGATGCGATGACTCCAACGGCTCCGACTCGCCAATTTCGTTCACTGCCTTCACTCTGAACGAGTAGCGCTTGTTGTGAATCAGGCGCGAAATCTCGTTGGCCAGCGAAGTGCTCATGCCAGCTGCCGTCCAAGTACCACGAGACATGTCCATCTTTTCGATGACGTAGTGAGTGATTGGACTGCCACCGTCATCCTTGGGTACCTTCCATTCCAGATGGCAACCTTCGGTCGTGATGTTTGAGATCTTCAGCGGTCCTTCCGGTGGAGATGGCTTGGCCAGTACGGTCACGTGTGCAGAAGCCGAGTATTCACCGCAATTGTTCTTCACAATCAGCGTGTACATACCGCAGTCTTCGCGAATCGAGAATGGAATCTCCAGCGAAATTTCGTTGTTGTAATCTTCACGAATGACTCTCTGCGATTCCGGAATGATAACACCGTTACGCTTCCAAGTAGCAGTCACATTCGGTGAAGCTTCAACCGTAACGTTGTATGCGATCTTCTTACCAACCGCAACGACCAGATCCTTCAGAGCGGACTTGTCGAAGTGTGGTGGCACGAAGCGAGACTTGCACACCACTGGGTCGGACGATTCACTTGGATCGCTCACTCCAGCTTTGTTGACAGCGCAGACACGGAATTCGTACTCTTCATCCTTAACCAGATCGGTAATCTTAGCGGCAGGCCTGTACAGTTCGGTGAACTCTCCAGCTAACTTCCAGTCTCCGTAGCGAGGCTTCTTCTCGACAATGTAGCTCGTGATCGGTGCTCCACCGTCCTTCTTCGGAATGCTCCATTCCAAGTTGACGTAATGATCGCCCCAATCGACAACCACCGGCTTGCCAGGTTTGTCCGGCTTGGTGTATGGATCCTTGGCAGTAATCGGCTGAGACGTAGACAGTGGAATAGATTCACCCTGCTTGTTAACGGCACGAATGCGGAACTGGTATGAGTGTCCCTCGATCAAGTTATCCGGACGGATCTTGGTCGAGATAGTCTCACCCACTGGAACCCACCGAAGTTGATCGGTGTCAAGCTTCTCAACGACGTAGTGCAGAATCTCCGAACCACCGTCGTCCTTTGGTGGACGCCACATCAACGTAACTCCGTTCTTCGATAGATTCTCGAAGCGGATGGGTCCCTCTGGAGGAGCTGGGACATCCAAAACAACGACATTGACGTCAGCAATATCGATACCATTCTTGTTCTTGGCGGTCAGCGTGTAAACGCCACTGTCCGCACGCTTGACATCCATGACGCGCAACTTGGTTCTGTAGTCCTCGTAAATAACCTTAATGCGGTCGGTGTTGATAATCATATTGTCCTTGTGGGACCATTCCTTAGCTGCTACTGGTTCACCCTGCACTGGAACATCGAACTCGAACGTAAGTCCAGCACGGATCCTGACATTGGACAACGAGTAGCGATCGATCTTCGGTGGTTGGTTTTTGCTGCGAGCAATGTGCGATTCGGTTGGACGACTGGCTTCACCCTCTCCAGCACGGTTGACTGCCTTCACGCGGAATTGGTAAGCAGTTCCCTCAATCAGATCTGGAACCCTGGCAGTACAAGCGTCACCTTCAACTTCAGCACACTTCTCCCAATCGCCAGAGTATTTGCTGAGCTTCTCGACCACGTATCCGGTAATCTGAGCACCTCCGTCGCTTTCTGGAGCCTTCCATTCCAATTCGACGTAGTCCCTGTCGTAGTCCGTGATCGTAAGATTCTCCGGACGCTGTGGCGTACGGAATGGATTCTTAGCCACAACGGCATTAGCCATCGACAGTGGCTCCGACTTGCCCATTTTGTTCTGAGCGCGAACACGGAACTTGTACGAGTGTCCTTCGATAAGTCCATCGATGTTCGCTTTGCATCGGTTGCTACCCGAATCACCGGCGTAGACCCAAGTTCCCTTGATTTCGTCCAACTTTTCGATGATGTAATTATCGATTGGTAAACCACCATCGTCCTCGGGAGCACGCCATTCCAGGATTGCTCCTCTGGCAGTGATCTCCGCAACCTTTAGTGGTCCTCCCGGTGGGCTTGGAACATCCAGTACAGTGACGAACACATTGGCCGTATCTTTACCGTTTTCGTTCTCGGCTTCGATCGTGTAAGTACCGGATTCACCTCGAGTAGCCGACCGAATGGTGATCTTGGTGTTGTAGTCGTAGTCCTGGATCTTGAAGCGTTCATTCTGCTTCAGCTGTTGCTTGTTCAGCATCCACTTAGTCGTTGGGATCGGTTCACCGGTAACCTTGACGTCGAACACGACGTTGTTGCCGGCCTTGATGCGAACGTCGACCAAGTTGGTGCGATCGATCTTCGGCGGCTGGTTCTTCGGTTTGCAGATGATCGGTGGTGTAGCATTGCTTGGGTCGCTTGGACCAGCATCGTTAACTGCACGAACACGGAATTCATATTTCTGTCCTTCCATGAGATCGGGAACGTCCGCGGTGGTAGCATCGGCTGGCACCTGCATCTTCCTTTCCCATTCTCCGTATTTGTCCTTGATTTCTACAATGTAGCCAGTGACCGGAGCACCTCCATCGCTAACCGGAGGCAACCAGGCAAGTTTGACAAAGTCTGGACCCCAATCGGTAGCTTTGCAGTTCTGAGGAGCAGATGGTTCGTCGAACGGATTCTTCGCAATGAAGTCTCCATCCTGTTCCAATGGTTTGGATTCTCCTTCAGCGTTGATGGCACTGACACGGAACTTGTACTTCTTGCCATTCTGCAGTCCACTGATGTCGGCGTTGGTTTCCACGGCACGAGCATGCGGTACCCAAGCGTTAGCTTCGTCGTCGAAGCGCTCAATCTGGTAGTACTCAATATCTGAACCACCATCGTCGCGTGGACGCTTCCACTTCAGCTTGCAGGACTCCTTGGTGATATCCGATACCTGCAGGGGTCCTTCCGGCGCACCTGGTTTGTCAGTGACAGTGACCTGCGCTAAGACATAATCGCGACCCGAAGAGTTGGTAGCGGTGATCTCGTAATCTCCTGAATCGTTACGGTTGGCCGGGCGTAGAATGAACTTGGAGTTGTAGTCGGTGTTGAGGATTTCGAGGCGTCTATCGCTTGAAACGAGAGCCTTATTAACGCGCCATTCACACTTGGGTGCTGGTTCACCAGTAACAACGACATCGAACTTGAGCATTGATCCAGCAGAGATCGAGATATCTCGAATGGTTCTACGATCGATCTTCGGTGGTGCAAAGCGTGGCTTAGCGGTGAATGTGCGGCTGGCATCTGATGGATCCGACTGGCCGGCCTTGTTGACGGCGATAACACGGAACTGATACTCGTTGCCTTCAACCAGCCCTCCAACGGTAGCCGTCGGACTCGGCGAAGTGGTTTCGCAGGCCTTCTCCCAGATCGGGCTGTATTTGTCCTTCTTCTCGATGATGTAACCGGTAATAGGGCTGCCACCATCGTCCGGTTCCGGCCACTTGAGCACAGCGTGGTTTTCGGACCAGTCAACAACCGACGGAGCGCTGGGCGTATCGGGAATGGCTGAAAAATAAACGAAAATTATGAGCAAGGTTACGATTATGAAATCATTCGTTCGAAACTCACAGAAGCTATCCTTCGCCAGATAAGTTCCAGCAGACTCCAACGGTTCGGATTCACCCTCGGCGTTGACGGCCTTGACGCGGAACTTGTAACGATGGCCAGGAACCAGACCCTCCACTTGGTAATCGGTGAAGGGCCATTCAACCTTACCAGCCGTCATCCAGATGCCATTGTCCGGATCGAACTTCTCGATGGCGTAGTGATCGATCTGAACACCACCATCGTCCTTCGGTTTCTGCCACTCCAGTTTGCAGCTGTCCTTGGTCATGTCCTTGACCTCCAACGGACCCTCCGGTGCTCCTGGTTTAGCTGAAAGTGGTGCGTCAATATTAGATCTCCAGACTAAAACCGACTAGCAAAAACCTACATCTCACGGTGATGGTAATCTCGACCTGATCGGTACCAAACTTGTTGGTAGCCTTGATCATGTACTTGCCCGAATCACGACGATCGGGTTCACTGTTGGCAAACTTGCTATTGTACGGTACATTGTCAATGGTACGGGTAGTTGTGACCGTCACCATGCGATCATTGATCGTCCAGTCAACATCCGGAGCTGGTTCACCGGCAATCTTTACATCGAAACCGAACGGTTCTCCAATGGAAACGCTCAGATTCTTCAGGTTGCGGCGATCGATCTTCGGTGGCACTATCGTCGAATGGAAATAATCTTAATCATAATCTGTGAAAAAAAAAAATGTTACCGAGCGATACTTACACTTTCTGGGTTTGGCAGTAATCGGTTTGCTTTGGTCGCTCCACACACCGGGACCGGCTTCGTTGACGGCACGGACCTTGAACTCGTAAACTTCACCTTCGTTCAGCTCCGTAACCTTAGCCTCGCACTTGTTGCCGATAACCTCGGCGGCCCTGATCCACTTGATGGTTCCATGTTCGCGCTTTTCGACGATGTACTTGGTGATCGGGGAACCACCATCGCACACCGGGGGAGTCCACCGCAGCTCGATGAAGTTGCGATCCCAATCGAAGGCTTCCGGGGTGCCCGGTTTGCCAGGTTCGTCGAATGGATTCTTCGCCATCATGAACTGCTCGGTTGCCAGAGGCTCCGACACACCTTCATCGTTGACAGCCGAGACTCGGAATAGGTATTCCTGTCCCGGTTCCAGGTTGGCAACATCCATGTGCGTATCGGCAGTACGTCCAACTGGGACCCAACGTCCCATTTCCTTGTCGAACTTCTCCACATTGTAGTGCTCGATCGGTACGCCACCATCGTCTAGTGGTGGATTCCACTTGAGCGAGCAGCCCTCCTTGTGGACGTTCGAAACTTTGAGTGGACCTTCCGGAGCGGTTGGTTTGTCCAGAACAGTGATGGTGAATTGATGTTCATCGTAGCCCGATGCATTCTCAGCCTTGATTTCGTAGCTGCCATTGTGGGCACGGGTTACGCTTCCGATCGTCAATTTGGCACGGTAGTCTTCGAACTCCACACGGATTTCTGGAGTCTCTTTTTCAATGCGTGCCTTGTTCAACAACCAGTACTTGGTTGGAGCCGGCTCACCACTGATCTTGCAGTCTAGTCGCAGCGTTTGACCACCCTTCAGAGTCATATTCTTGAGCGTCGAGCGATCAATTCTAGGTGGCGCAAAGCGATCCTTGACCAGTACTGGATCGGACAGCGGTGAGTACGGACTGGGTCCACCCTTGTTCACGGCCTTCACGCGGAACTGATAGGTCGTACCCTCAAACAGATCCGGAACCTTAGCCTTGTTAACGGGTCCGTCGGTTTCCATTGCCTTTTGCCACTTGGTGCTGTTGACGTCCTTCTTTTCGATGATGTACTTCGTGATCGGAGCACCTCCATCGCTTTCCGGCTCGGTCCATTCCAGCATGACGAACTTCCTGGACCAATCGATAGCCTTTGGTTTTCCAGGGGCATCTGGAGCGTCGTACGGGTTCTTCGCACGGGTGCTGGTGTCGGTTTCCAGTGGTTCAGACTCACCCTCGCTGTTGACGGCCTTCACGCGGAACATGTAGTCCTTGCCTTCTTGCAGTCCGGAGACATCAGCCTCGGGGAAGCGAGACTCACAGACCTGAATCCACCGACCGCTGTCGACGTCCATGCGTTCGACGACGTAGGCCTGAATTGGTTCACCACCATCATCCTCTGGTGGCAGCCAGGCCAGTTTGCAACCTTCGGCCGTCACATCCGACACCTTCAGTGGACCCATGCACTTGGACGGTTTCGCCAGCACCACCAACTCCATTTCGACGGTATCCGTACCGTTCTTGTTCTTAGCAGTAACTTTATAAATGCCTGAATCGGAACGTTTCAAGTTTCTAATAATCAAGTTAGTCTTGTATTCTTCGTTATCCAGCCGGATGCGTTCGTCTTCCCTGCCGGTGATGGGCTTTTCCTTGAGCTCCCATGTGATCTTCGGAGCCGGTTCACCAGTAACGTCGGCTTCTACGTTCAGTAGCTGACCGCCACGAAGAACCTTCTTGTCCAAGTTCTTGCGATCGATTCTTGGAGCCAAGTTGCGCGGCTTAGCAACTACGCTATCGGAGATATCGCTCGGTTCCGATGGACCAGCCTTATTGACTGCAATCACTCGGAACTCGTACTCGTGGCCCTCCTCAACATCTTCAACGGTACCACGAGTGCGATCACCGCTAACGGTAGCTGCGTCCTGCCACTTACGGCTCGACTTGTCACGCTTCTGGATGATGTACTCCGTGATCGGAGCCCCACCATCTGACTTCGGTTTGGTCCACTCCAAATCGACAAAGTCCTTACCCCAGTCAGTAGGCGTAGGACAGCCCGGCTTACTTGGCTCGCTGAATGGATCCTTCGCAATCACAACGGTCTCCATCTCCAGAGGCTCACTGTCACCTTCCTTATTGAACGCCCTAACCCGGAACTTGTACTGCTTGCCTTCCTGCAGACCGGAAATGTTTGCCTCCGGGGTATTGCTCTGGCCACACGGAATCCATTGTCCAGTCAGTGGATCCAGCTTCTCGATCTCGTAACCCTCGATCGGCATACCACCGTCGTCCAGTGGGGGTTTCCACTTCAGCTTGCAACCATGCTTGTGCACGTCCATAGCTTCCAGTGGTCCTTGCGGCGTTCCTGGCTTGCTAAGGATCGTAATCTCGACCTCGGCACGGTCCTCTCCCTGCGAGTTGGTGGCGACGATCGTGTACTTGCCACTCAGGTTGCGACGGCCACGCATGATGAAGAACTTGGTGTTGTAGTCGATGTTATCGATCTTGTAGTCGGCATCGGTACCGACTTCCTTCTCTCCGTGGAACCATTTGACGGTCGGAGCTGGCTCACCCTCGATGTCGATGTCGTACTGCACCGACAAACCGGCCTTGATGGTCATCGGCGTCAGGTTGGTACGATCGATGCGAGGACGCACTAAACGATAGAAAGACGATTAGTATCCATATGGTCAGATCCGAGGCAATCGATTAAAGACAATCTTGAATCGATCGCTGCGGGTTCTAAGACATTCATGACTTAACCTAAGCACGTACAGTTAAGAGTAAAAGACAGTTTCTGAAGCGATTTTATTGAAGATATAGCAGACCATGAAACCAGTTGAATACTTACAGTAGCGATGCTTCACCGTATGGAAACCAGTTGGATCCGAAGCTTCACCAGTGCCAGCCTTATTGATGGCACTGACGCGGAACTGGAAGGTACGCTTCTCTGGCAAATCATCGAGCTTGGCTTGACATTCGGGGCTGCGCGTCGTGAGGGCCGGTTCCCACTTGGTCTCTCCACGTTCCTTCTTCTCGATGAAGTACCCACTGATGGGAGCTCCACCATCCGAGATGGGACGCTTCCATTGGAGAGTAACGCTTGAATTGTCCCAATCGTGAACGACCAGGTCCATCGGTGCCTTTGGCTTATCAAACGGATCCTTTGCAACCATGTACTCTTCAGTCTCCAACGGTTCGGATTCACCTTCATCGTTGATGGCCTTAACGCGGAACTTGTAGTGCATACCTTCCTGCAGTCCAGTAACGTCAAACTCTTCCGCATCTCCTGGAGCCTTTCCCATCGGTACCCAGCGTCCAACCTTCTGATCGTATTTCTGCAACTCGTAAGCCGTGATCGGTTTGCCACCGTCGTCATCCGGTTTCTTCCACTTGAGCTTGCAACCATTCTTGGTGACATCCTTGACCTCGAGTGGTCCCTTCGGTCTACTAGGGGCCGACAGCACTGTGATTTCTACCTTCTCTCTGTCCACACCATGCTCGTTCTTGGCCACAATTTCATACACACCGCTGTGCTTTCGGCAGCTGTCCTTGATGGTGAACTTGGTGTTGTATTCCTGATTGATGATCTCGTAGTGATCGTCATTGAAGACTTGCTTCTCCTTGACCAACCAGGTGATCTCCGGTTCCGGTTCACCCTTGACGTTCACGTCGTAGTGCACCATCTTGCCACCGCGGACCACAATCGGCTTCAGGTTCGTACGATCGATACGTGGTTTCACTAGAGATGAGAGAGACAAAGAGTTGCCGACCATTCCAGGTAACCTGCAAACATATGAGATACTTACATGAACGATGCTTGACCTTGTGTACGCCGGTAGGATCGGATTCGGGTGAATTTCCAGCCTTGTTAACCGCAACGATGCGGAACTGGACCTCGCTGTTCTCCTTCAGATCGTCAATCGTAGCAGTGGTTTCACCTCCAGGAACTTCCTTGGCGTCTTCCCAATCCTTGAAGCGTTCCTTCTTTTGTACAACGTACTTAATAATCGGGGCACCGCCGTCCGATTTTGGAGCAGCCCACTTGAGCTTGACGGATTTGTTATCGAAGTCGACAACCTCCGGTTGACCTGGTTTCAATGGTTCGTCGAATGGATTCTTAGCCACAACCTCATCCGATTCCAGTGGTTCCGACTCGCCTTCATCGGTAACACCTATCACTCGGAACTTGTACGTAGCGCCTTCATCGAGTCCGGTAATATCGGCTTCGAGAATGTCCGGTCCACCCTTGACCGTGCCGCAGCGGACCCACTTGCCGTTGCGGTTCTTCAGCTTCTCGATCTTGTACTCCTTGATCGGAGAACCTCCATCGTCCAGTGGTTTCTTCCACTTCAGCTTCAGGCCCTTCTTGGTAACGTTGGAAATCTCCAACTTGCCCTGGCACCTGCTGGGTGCTCCAAGCACAACCAGCTCCACTTCCTCTTCGTCCTTACCGGAGGCATTCTTGGCGGTAATCTTGTACTTGCCCGTATCGGCACGTTTGGCTTCCTTGATCGAGAAATTCGTATGGTAGTTGCCCGACTCGATCTTAATGTTCTCGGACACGGTAAGCGGAATGTTATCACGCCAGCTCCAAACGATGTCCGGTTCTGGCTCACCCTTCACATCCACCGACCAGATCATTGACTTTCCGGCCTTGATGGTGATGTTCTTCAGGTTGGTTCGGTCGATGCGAGGTTTCACTGTGTGAGGTATAAACCAATGTTAGAATTCAACACCGAACAGTTCACGACACTCTTTCGCGGCAAAACTTTAGAACCATTTTGTTTGTTTGCTACTTACGTGGAACCGTTTATCAAAGCAAAACCCGGATTGACTGGTGTTGACAGCTTAAGACTAGGAAAACAATTGAACGACTTTGTTCCGAACTGGCAAACTTACGGTTCTTGTGTTTGACGGTGTGGTTATCGGTAGGCTCCGAAGCCTTGGAAGCTCCACCCTTGTTGACGGCCCGGACACGGAACTGGTAGACGACCTTCTCCTTCAACCCGTGGACCTTGCCCACGGGATCGGGAGTTTCGGTTTTGGCACACTCTGTCCAATCGGACAAGAACTTATTCTTGTACTCGATGACGTAGTGCGTGATGGGACGTCCACCGTCCTTCTCCGGGGCTTCCCACTTGAGTTCGACAAAGTCCACGCCGTAGTCATCGACGGCCGGCTTGCCGGGAGCTTCTGGGGGATCTATTTTCACAGGTGAAAAGAAGGTTTAGGATATGCACACTTGCAGACAAGCTTCTAAGCTAGTCTCACAACTATATCAATATTTTTGACTCGGACAGATGGCGCACACAGATTTTGGCTTAAATTTTGCTAATTGACATAGATCGACTGGCTCAATGCACTTACCGTATGGATTGACAGTTTTTACCGCGAGCAAAGTCTCCAGAGGCGTAGATTCGCCTTCTTTGTTGTAGGCTTTGACCCGGAACTCAAACTTCCTTCCCTTCTGTAAATGCTGGAAGTCGAACGTGAGCTGCTCGGCACCGCACTCGCCAGCCTGCAGCCAAGTTCCGTTTTCTACGTCCATCTTCTCCAGGAGGTAGCCGGTCAACGGACAACCACCGGTGTCCTCCGGAGGTTGCCAGCTGATGACCACGTGGTTGAATCTAGCCTTTTCGATCTTGATCGGTCCAATCGGTTGCGTGGGAACATCCAGCACCAACACCTTGGCAGACGTGACGAACTCTCCGCTGCTGTTCTTGAGCTTCAGCTTGTATGTACCGGAATCGGCACGAACGGAATGTCTCACGTTGAGGGTCGTAGCGTTCGATTCTACGTCGATTGTTTTGCGCTTCTCGGAGTCGCAGATGATGAGAATGTCGTCCTTCTCCCAGATGACTTCCGGTTCTGGCTCACCACCGTACTGCGCATAGTACCGAATGGTTTGACCCTTCTTCAAAGTGATCGGCTGCAGGCCTTCGCCTTCGATGAATGGTTTAACGTAGCGATCTCTAATCTTGAGTGGCTCGGTGTTGTTGCTGGGCTTACTGGCACCTCCCTGATTGGTGGCCTTCACACGAAACTCGAAGGTTTCACCGACAGTTAGATTGCGAAGTGTAGTCTTCAACTGATTGGGCCCAAGCGTATCGATCTGCTTCCAATTGGCAGCCGTGTACGGTTTGAACTCAACGACGTAGCTCTGAATAGGAGCACCTCCGTCCGATTTCGGCACCTTCCATGTCAGTTCGACAAATTCTCTGTCCCAATCGGAGATTACTAGGTCTCTCGGTGGATCCGGTTCGGTCCATGGATCCTTGGCAATGATATCTTCCTCCATGCTGCAGTAATCCGATTCACCTTTTATGTTGACGGCCTTAACTCGGAACTTGTAGTGACGGCCCGCTGTGAGATCCGTAACAGAGAACTTGGTCTGATCTCCGGGTACGTCCTCGAGCTTTTCCCAGCCGGACCGCTTGAACACATCCTGCCGTTCCAGGACGTACTTGGTCAGCGCTGCACCACCATCGTTGACCGGTGCCTTCCACTTGACCACGCACCGCGTCTGGAAGATGTTCACGCACTCAACGTCCTGAGGTGCCTCCGGCTTATCCTGGAATACAACATTGGTGGTTTGCTCTTCCGAGCCAGTAGCATTTTCCATTACGATCTTAAATTCACCCGAGTCTTTGAACTCGGTCTTCTTAAACTTGAGCACGATCTTATCATACTCTACAACTATATCAACCTCGTCCGGTGTAACCGGCTTACCATCTTTAAACACCTTGGCAGTGACCTTAGACTGGCGTGACTCACCGGCTGTACAACAACACGAGATAAAGTGGTAACGTCATTGAACATTCGTAGGGACATTCAATGGGACAGGGGGGGTACTTACTTGTGAATGGAACCTCCAGGACCTTTTCTTCCTTGGCAGGCGTTTCCACCTTGGGTGGTACTTGGAATTTCGGTTTCGTTTCCTTCTTGTTGACCTTGAGCGTGCACTTGCTGGTCAGTGGTCCGCAAACGCAGGTGATTTCGCCTGCGTCGCCCAACTCAAGCTTCTTGTAGGTCAGCTTCCAGGTGCCCTGACCGTCCGATACGATATCGATACGGTCGTTCTTGGTGATTTCGGTTTCGCCGTTGAAGAACTGCACGTCGGCTTCCTCATCCTGAACTTGGATCTCCATTACGCACTCGAGCGTTTCGTCCCCGGTGGTGTCCTTCATTTTCTTCATGAATTTGTTGGGTCCTAAGGGGCAGAAGAAGGTTATGTGCGAGCTGTCGAGGGATACGGGATACGGGGTACTCACGTTTAACGAAGATTTCAGCTTCGGTCTTGTCGGCGTTGCTCACACATCGGTACATGCCACTGTCGGTCTTGGCGACATCCTTCAGCACCAGCTTGTGCTTGCGACCATCCTTGATGATCTGCACCTTATCGTTCTCCTCGATCTTGGTGTCTCCCTTGAACCATTCGACCGTTCCCAGCACGTGGTCCAACTCGCAAGCCAGCGTGACCGTGTCCTTGACGAACAGCTGCTGGCTCTTGAGCACCTTGGTGAACTTGTAGTTGTAGTCCAAGATCTTCAGCTTCGTTTCGGTCTTATCGGTCTGCTTCTCGATCTTACAGGTGTAGGTATCGGCATCTTCCGCGACGCAGTTCTTGATGATCAGCGTCATCGTTCCGTTGAGATCCTTACCGATGATGTACCGGTCGCTGTTCTCCAGCTTGGTCTCGCCCCTCCACCAGGAGATCGGAGCCAACGAGTTGTCGACCTGGCACTCCAGGACTGTATCGTGCGTGATGAAGCCCTTCTCCGTCTTCTTGAGCAACTTGGTGAACTTGTACACCGGATCGGCTTCCTCGACGGTCAGATAGGCCATACATTGCACACCAGCAATCTCCAGCGTGTACTTACCGCTGTCCTCGATTTTGGGATTCAAGATCAGACAAGTGTAAACATCGCCCTCGCACTTGAACTTGTACTTGGGTCCAACGAAGATTTCCTGGAAAATGTTTGCAGCTGGATTAGAGCATTACCGTGGTTAGAAGCAGACGAATGAGGAACCTACATCCTTACGCAGCATCCACTTGGCCTTGGCATTTGGTTTGGTGAAGGTGGCCTCGAAGAAGACCTTCTTTTCACGACCTTCCTTGCAGGTGATGTCCACCAGAGGCTTCGAGAAGGTGTCTTGTTTCTGAAATCGTCAGCAGAATTAGTCTTCGATCAATGGATCACGCACAGAATCACAACACAAAACAAAGAAACGGGTTTCGGTTAGCTACAAACATAAACTCTTATCACCAGAGACCCGTATTCCTCGTTCAAGTGTTGGCGAAAACACATACTCTCTCCACTTTCTTCAACTGTGGCTTGGGGATTTCGACCTCCTTCAGATCGATGACCACTTCCTCCTTCTCCTTGGCCCATTTGGCGTACTTTCGCTTCTTCAACATAGCACGGAAATCCATGCCACTGGAGTCGGACACGTACAGCTGCACCTCGGCCGAATCTTCGCCATGGGGGTTGGACACCACGACCTTGTACTTGCCTTCGTCGTTCGGCTTGACCTTACGAATGCACAACGTAATGGTATTGCTTTCGCCATCGGTGTGATGCTTGTAGCGACCACCATCGACCAGCTCGGTGATACCCTTGAAGAACTTCCACGTCGGAGCGGGATTACCCTCGACCTGCACCGAGATGTAACCGGTTTGATCTGTGGAACGGATAGGGAAAGAGTCGAACGATCACCTTCCATGAACGGACTTATCCACCTATAAACCATGTTAGCTTCAAACAGCAGAGCGCGCGCTGGCAGCAAATCGATATCCTAAATCTAGGAAGCACTAAGCAAACTAAGCACTAAGCCAACAAGCGAAGCCACACAAAACGGTGGTTGGAACCGAACCTTCAACGGCGGAGTAGCTCTCCTGGAAGTCGACGATGACTGCTGCTTTGCCTGGATCGCCGATGGCTCGCAACGGCGTCGACGGTAGATTGATCTTCTCTTCCATATCTGCAATGCTCGGGCGTCGTACATCGATTGATGGTCGTCGTTTCTGTAGGACGCGTAGGGCAGCAGCAGCGAAGACGACGACGATGATGTGCCAGGATTTATTTCGGTGTGGCGTAGAGTTCGAAAATTGATATTTATAAAGATCGGATATTCCAAGCCGAAATAACATCCCCAGCGACGGCGGCGGCGGCGAAGGGGCGGATCAAAATGATTGTGACGAGCGCCAGAGTTGAGTCGAGATGAAAGAAGAGAAAATATGTTCGATTTAATATAAATTTTAATGACGTCCATCGAAGTGGTTTTCCTAATCAAGAAAATTCTTCCGTTTCAGTATCGAGTCGCAGGTATCGGCTTCCCACCACGCCCCATTAGCCAACTCTAATTTCACGGACAATTGACTCCAAACCAACCAACCAGTCAAACGATGCAAGTGGACAACTACCCCCCACCCAATGAACAAACAAAGAAGCGTAACATCCTCCATGGACGACCCCCCAGGGGGGGGCCAGATGGTTCGAACCTTGAAACCGAACCAATAATAAAATTCGCATCAAAATCAAAACACACAAAACCACCGCCATCGATGGAGCGAGAGAGAGCAAGACAAATGTTACCTCAGCACACGGCGGAAATCGCGAGCCAAAACATCATCCCATAATGGGGAGCAGCCAGATGGGAATATAAATCATCGCTGGTTCGTGTTCCGCTCGTCCAAACCTTTCCCAAAACATGCCACCACTTGAGTTATTAGCACATTTGTTAGAAAAATTGCACCGACTAATTTTAGCCTTAGGTGCATTTTTTCCGATTCCGGCGGAGGCACGAGGGCGGCGCCAATCCCGGGGACGAAAAATCAAATTGAAAAATGATGATCGGATGCTGTGCGGCTGAGGTCCTCCCAGTTAACATTGAGCGATCGTGTTTCACCGGTGGAAGATGTGGTGTGAAGAATTTCCAACGGCTGTCGGGGTTGTTGCAGTGTTTCTGTAGGTTATGTGCAGTGCATGTGATAATTGGTTTGTGAACATTCCGGGAAATTTTATCGGTGTAGGGGACACGGGAACCGCTCCTCGTCGCCAGCGGACAGGTGAGTGACACTATCGGTAGTCGAGACTGAAGATGGTGGTAGAATGTTGTGAATCTTTGGAAAATGTCTAGTCGGAAAGAAGAAGTTACTGTCGAACCCTTACCTATTTGAAATCAATTTAAATAGGTGCCATTTGAAAAGTAATCAAGAAGAAATTCCATACATCAAGTGTAGCAAAATGCTGTCAATATGAAGCAAGTAATAAGACGTCAAATCGTTAACAGGGAAGGGAATTCTCAGCTGAACTGTTGACTCATAAAGAGGTCTTGTCCATCTGGATAACTTTGCCAAAGACAGCAACCTTCTATTGAGTCGAGCTGTCATGCTACACTGAAAACGAATCTTACTCAGAGAGTGAGTCACGTTTACTCATTCGTATGAAGAAATTTGTCAGGCGCTGAGTGAAATTTCTCCATACGAATGGTTATAGTGAATCACTCTCTGAGCTAGTTCCGTTTTCAGTGTAAAGCAGGCAGTAATAAGATAAATGACACACTACTGTATTACCTGACTTAAAGTGAATATACGTTGTATATGGGTACCCCGAATACAACGTATGACTCGTCTAATTTTGCATCGCATTTACAATGTAAAATTGGACGAACTATACGTTGTATTCGGGGTACTCATATACAACGTATATTCGTTATAAGTCAGGTAAGACAGTAGTGCCACCTGGTTAGTCGATCCTGAACTGAACTGTTCACCATTCAATTGACCTTGTTCATCAGAACAACTTTGTCAAATACTACAACCTTCTAACTAATCGATATGTGAAGTTCAGTCAAGAAAATAGAAGTCAAATGACTAAAACTATCGCTAGCTGATATGGGAATCCCGAACTGAGGTGTTCTCTATTCAATAGATCTTGTCCTTCTCATCAACTTTGCCAAAGACAGCAAATTTTTATCTAGTCGAGCTTTCAAATTAAAACAAAGAATAAGATTTAAAAAGATTCACTTGAACTGAACTGAAATTTGCCTGGTCCTGATCTGCTGCCAAATAATACCTGGTTCTATCAAGTCGTTCTGGGAAGCAAATAATTAATTTTTCATCAAATGTCACTGCTTTTATTTGCAGTGATGCAACGCATAATCTGTTTTCCGAAAGCTGTTCACAGAGGACAGTGCAGGCAAAAAACTTACTACAAAATTGAGTAGCCGACACTGTAAAACATGCCTGGGCTACGTTTTAGTTGGGTTTCCGTTAGTTGGGCTGTAGCCCACCTAAACCGAAGTCAAACGTCATTTCTGACCGTACTGATTCCTTTTCGAGGGGCTCATGGGTTCAACAATGTGTATAGTTGCTAAACGATTTTGATGCTTCTAAACAATCGGTGTATTCCTCAACAAATTTTCAGCTTGACAGCTCAGCCCAACTAATGGAAGCCTTTCACTAAGTGGGCTATGGGTTAAGCCCAACGAGCGAAAGTTGACCGTACTTCTATACAGCTAACTTTCGCTCGTTAGACTAAACACATAGCCCACTTAGTGAAAGGCTTTTGTTAGTTGGACTGAGCTGTCAGGCTGAAAATTGATTGAGGGATACACCGATTGATAACAATCCTTACACGGTAACCGCAAAATACCCAATAATGACTACAAAGAAGGCATGTTCGAGGGAGACTGGGACTAACCATTAAATGAGTAAAAATATTACCCATTTATGAGTATTTGTTACTCAAAAATGAATACTTGGGGTCTGTTCATAACATATTTACGTAGACATTTTATTGAGATTCGTAGACAATTGTCCATACAAAAATTTTAAAATTTGTATGGGCCGTAGATAGTTCTCAAACCCTAAGCTGTCTACGTAGTTTATGAACAGCCCCTTACTACTTGTTTTTGTAGTTGTAATTACTCATAAATGGGTAAAATTTTACTTATTTAATGGGTAGTCCCAGTTTCCCTCGAAAATGCTTACTTTGTAATCATTATAGGATATTTTGCGGTTACCGTGTAAGCAACTATGCAGTGGTTCATCCATGATCCCCTCGAAAAGGAATCAGGAATGTCAGAAATGGCGTTTGACTTCGATTTAGGTGGGCTACAGCCCAACTAACGGTAGTGCAACTAAAATTTAGCCCGATTGAAGATAACCCAACGTGCGGAATTCGAATGTATATCAAGAGCAACATGGCCTATGTGACGAATGTAAACAATGACTTTAAACGTTGATTGCTCTCGAATCACAACGCGCCCACGTAAACTAAGTACACCTTCTGATAGATCAAACTTACTCCACCAGATGCTGCTGTTAGTTTGCCTGCATCGGAGATGGACTAGCACGTGGTTAAAAATCTACCTGAATGAGTCTTAATCCACGCGAAATCGACGTTTACAGCTATTGTTTACTTCTGCACACTAAGATTTTGCTTCCGTTTTCGGTAAATTTTACCGAAATCAGAACAGCTGAGCGTTCGGTTAAACATTGACCTTCATTTTAAAGGCTATTGAATTTGAAAATAATTTAAAAACATGTTCAACCTTGTTTAAATTATCAAATCTTGTCATTTTAGTGGAGATTTAGTTTCAAAGTTGCTGAAAGGCAATTGCATTGAATTGCATAAATTTTACCGAACATTTCAGCTGTTCATTCCTTGTCGAACGTTCGGCTGATCAAGTTCACTTTGTGCTACTCTCCATCGTCACAAGTTTTTTTTTTCTGCGCTGTGTATATTGGATTTTTTCCCCGAACGGGGTTTTTTTGATGCACTCCCCTGCTAGTGACTAAAGCAAAAAGTACCACTAGCGGACCAAGACGCTCTACTCTGGAAGCAGCGGCCTCGGCGAGACCGGAGGTTCGCCCGTCCAACTTTAACGCCATCAACCGAGTCATCCCATCATCCGATCGCACCATCACATTTGCATCGTTCAACAGCAAGGTCATCAGCCGTACCACAACACAACAACAGATTCGGGCTATCGAAGCGGGCCCTTTGTTAGCCAGCACGTGTTTTTGCCTGCATCTATAGAAAACCCACTGCTTCATCGCATAGTGGATTTCTTCTCCGTTGGGAAGACGCGCCATCCCGGTATAGAGAGATAAGTAATTTTTTTTTTTCATCAGAAGTTTTTTTTTTCTCTGTTTGGTTTGTTTTTCGATTTTTAAGATCTGATTAATTCCCCTACAGCGTTGCTTACCCTTTCTTGCTTATTATTTAATTTATATACATTAGTTTCCCTTGTTTTTATTTGTTTTTTTATTATTATTATTAATTTTTTTGCTGAGCAATTTACCTAGAGTGCGGTAGATTCTATCCCATATACTTCTTTTTTTTTTCTTTTTTCATTTTTAATTATTGATTGATTTCAAATTTGTGGCAAGGAAAATATTTGAATTATTAACATCAAAGTTTTCTATACATTCCATTGCGGTGATACCTTAAGGCACCGCAATGGATGACAAAAATAAAGGCGGGGGATTGTCGCTTGACATCTCAGATGATGAGTCAATTAAGTCTCCTTCATTTGAAAAGCTCGATTCTTCTGAGGAAATGGATATCCTTGAAGAATCACTTGATTTGCTCACCAACAAAAACACTGGAGCCTACCCTAAAGGGAGTGTCAAACCACTGCCTCCTTCTCCTCCTACTCCCCCTTCTCCACCATCGCCACCTCGTCTACCGTTCCCCCTACTCCACCCGTTCCCCCAAAAACTTCTGCGACCCCCCGCCACAAGGCATACCCTGATGACTCGAAAGGTCCGTGGGTTGTATTTTTCCGGCCCAAACAAAAACCTTTGTATATTACCCGGATTTCTAAAGATCTGACAACACATTTCTCGGCCGTTACCGACATTTTTAAGGTGACGCCAAACAAACTGCGAGTTACCGTTGACGACCGGAAGCAGGCCAACCAGATCGTTGCATGCGAGCGTTTTTCGATAGAATATCGAGTCTACGTCCCCAGTTGTGATGTAGAAATTGAAGGAGTGGTCACCGAAGCGAGTCT